CAAATATAAGAGGGTTTATGTATAATTTACCCAACTAATTTTAGACGGCAAACTGATCCCTGCTAGTTTTAGGTATGTATTGATATAAATTTATATATTTGAGGGTATAAATTAAAATTTTTTATTTTTAAATGTACAAATTAAAATTTAAAAGACCTTTCCAGATATAATTTGTGATTTCTCTAAATATATCGTGGATCAGGGTGTCACGTAACACTAAAGTTATCCTTTTGGATGTGATCTCATAGGCCCCATTTCGATGAGATATAGATATGTTTGGTAGCTTGGGCTAAGGAACTTAAATGCTACCGATCACAATACTTATCTATATCTTGCATGATTAGTAGATTTTAATTTGAGTTGAATCTGAATTCAAGTCTAATTAATTTAGATATGTTTTAATATTTTTAATTAATATTTTAAATTTAAATATTATTAGTTATATTGTTATTCATATATACTAGTTTAGATATTATATTTAATATTAGGAATACGTTATTTGGACGTAATTTGAGAACCTTATTTAGGGGTTTAGTGATGTATAACATTAGTTTGATTGTAGGCTCTATCTAACATTAGAACTCACAACTAATTCAATAATTATATTGAAGTCACATCATTAGGCCCCTAAATAAGACTCTCAAATAAAGTCTCTCTAGTATTGCTTTTTATTTTGTTGCGATTCGATCCTAATTATACTTATAAATATCAAAATGTGACAAAATTAGGTGGTTTTTTACCATAATTGAATTAAAATTAGGTAGATTTGGCGAAAGGTACATAATCGTATACTTTTAAGACAAAAAGTTCAACTTACACACTTTTAAGGTGAAAGGTCCATTAAATATGCAGTTGATCAAAATACCCTTAGCAAAAAAGGAAATATTATTTGAACTTTATTTTGAGATCTAATGATATATAATCATTGAATTAGTTGTGGATTTTATTTAATATTAGAATTCATAATTAATACAATGATAGCATTAAAGCCGCGTCACTTTTTTTTTATATTTTTTTATTTTTTTGGATTGGTGAACATGATAGTTTCAACATCAACATTCATTTTGTCTCCGATCAAATAAAAAAAGCATCAACATTCATGGCAAATGAACTTTTGGATAAGGATGAAAATGTACATTGTACCCCGTGGTCGTCGGTCTTCTAGTACTTTCATTTCATGAATTATGTATGACGCATTTGTTTCTAGAAGATATGATTTGTTTTTTTCTTACGTAATCATAACATATATATGATTTGGATCATCTCCCTAATAAGAGAATAACTATGGGCGCACCTAAAATTATATTCCTTTCGTTCTTAAATATCTATCGTTTTATTCAATTTTTTTTGTTTCACAATATCTATCGTTTTATGAAACAAAAATATAATTAATATTTTTTTTTTCAAATTTACCCTTATCTTTGTTTTCTAATAAGTGCTTAATAAATTAAGTGTAGACTAAGTGTCTTTCATATTATTTTTCTTTTCAATACGTATTGAATAAGAATATTTTAGTATTGTGTAATTATTTTTTACTCATAATAGAGCTATTTAATAGTTTTCTTAATCTCTGTACAAAAATCTTAAACGACAGATATTTAGAAACGGAGGGAGTAATATTTAAATATAAAATTATATTTTTTAAATTGTCTAGATTACAATTAAAAGATATATTTTTATTTTTATTTTTATTTTTTTTTGAATTGAGGGATTCAAATTTAACACGACCCACTAACAAAACATGTAATTAGAGCGCTTGTGTCTTCCTTAAGTCACAGGTTTTGTAAACGAATAAATCCGAAACAACACAATTGATAAACAAATCGGTTACATGTGACATAACTCGATTATGTATTGGTTATACACAAAACAACCCCGATATAACATTATTTATTTGACACGAATTAATAAGCAAGTCAGGTATGCGTGAAATATTTTTTTACACTAATCCACTAAAACTCGACATAAACCTGTTTCATAAAATATAATTGATAGACTTACTTTAAATACTCCATAAAATTAATTTAAACCAATGGTAGAGGACCACGACGAGGCTTTGCACCAAATAATCACACTAGATGATAGAGTTTCAAATTTCACAAGATCAAAGGGCATTTACGGAATGAATTGGAATGGCTTCTAAAACATTTTTCCTTGAGCCACAAAATAAAGGTCCACCTAAGCAGCTAGGTACTGTTTTGCTTAAAACCATACGATTTGGTACCAGTTTACAGCAGGAAAATGGCTTTTTTCTCAATTCTAAATTTAAGAGTTATTATAGATATTTAAATATTTACTCTCTAAAAAAGAGTCAAATGTAACCCTATTTTTAATAGATTTTTGGTTAACAAACTAAAATATAATAAAATAAATTGACAATACAAAAAAATATATAGCTCAAATAAGTTAGATTAGGATAATATAAGTCAGATAAGACAGAATAAGTTAACATACGTCCAATCGAGTAAGTCAGGTTAAACCAACTCAAGTCAAGATAAGACAACTCGATCAAACAAACTCAGGTTAGGATAAGACAGTTTGGCTAGTTTAGTTCGGTTAGACTAGGTTAAGTTAGGTCAATCCAGGCAAGTTAAGTTAATTCCAATGAATAATTATTAAAGTCAAGCAATAAGATTTTAGAAGATGACAACCAACATGGAAACTATTAACAATGTGAGTTTAATTGCATGCTTTTTAGAGATAACTTTGACTTAAAAATAATTTAAAAGTGACTACATTAATTAGGGGGAGTTCCATTTTGCACCCGAAAAGATTTTAATTTTTTTTAAAAAATTTTGTACATTAAAAGAAAAGTTTTTTTTATATTATACCTTCAATCTATTAAAAGTTGCAAGATAACCCTTTTGTTATATTTTGTTACTTTTTTTTGTAAAAATTTACCTTATTAAATGTTAACAAAATAAGCAATAAAAACTAACGGAATGGTTATAATGTAATATTTTTAATGTATTAAAAGTGTAATATAAAATTTTTTATTTTAAGAGTATATAGTGATAATTTTTAAATTTTTTATAGTCTGTTCGGTTTGGTGGAAAAGTCGGTGGATGAAAAATGGTGAATAGAAAATGACATTTTCCTTTGTTTGGCCTGAGTGGAAAATTGAGGGGTAAGGAAAATTAGGTGGAAAACATATCATTTGGGGCCACCATTTTCAATCACTCCACAAATGGGAAGAAAATGTACGGAAGGAAGTTTGTAACCCACCTATTTTGTCATTTTTTATGTACAAGTATACCAAATTAGTGGGTCCCACATCAAATTGCAAAGTATATTTCGAAAAATCGTTCGAATCTCAATTTTCTTCTAAAGATCAAAAATCTCAATTTGTATCTTCAAAAATAAAAATTTGTATTAATGTAAACCACCAATTATCAAAAATCTCAATTTACACTCTCAAAGATAAAAAATTATATCAATATGCACCTAAAATTAAATGCCGTCAATTTGCTATCTGAAACTAAATTGGTAAATTATACTTAGATTCTCTCATGCTTGTCACTTAATCATTTGGACCCCTTCACAAAATATATAATAATATGAAATTATAATTTTTTATTAGGATAAAATCATATTTTTTAACGGTTATAAAATCTTAATAAAAATACTTTAAATTTAAAATGTCTCCCCAATTGGGCATTCAAATAATTATGTTTAAGTGATATATTGCATTGTATATAAAAAATATTATATAAATACCTACATTCTATTAGATATTTAAATGATAAGCTTAATTTTGAATTTTAGAGTATATTGAACCCACAAAATAAAGGGTAATATGAAATTATAATTTCTTATTAGGATTAAATCGTATTTTTTAACGGTTATATTAACAGATATAATTTTTTATTAGGATAAAATTATATTTAACGGTGATATTAACAAATATTAATGAAAAGGGATTACATGTTATATGTGCACAAACGTCATGAGATGTAGGAATAATATTCTAAATGTGAAGGGGTTCAAATGATTAAGTGACAAGCATGAGAGGATCTATGTATAATTTATCAATTTAGTTTTAGGTGCACATTAATACAAATTCCTATTTTTGAGGGTGTAAATTAAGATTTTTATCTTTGAGAGTGCACATTGATACAAATTTATATATTTAAGGGTATAAATTGAGATTTTTGATTTTTGGAGGTGTAATTTGAGATTCTAACTATCTTTCAGGGTGTAATTTGTAATTAATCTTATAAATTTATATATTTGAGGGTGTAAATTAAGATTTTTAATCTTTAGGGGCGCACATTGATACAAATTTCTATTTTTGAGAGTGTAAATTGAGATTTTTGATATTTGAGGGTGTACATTGATATAAATTTCTATTTTTGAGAGTGAAAATTGAGATTTTTTATTTTTGAGGGTGTAAATTGAGATAATTTTTTTGAACAAATAAACTTTTTTGCCTTTAAAATATATTTATATGAAAAATACTATTTATTCTAAATTTCTATTTCAAATAAAGGGGATCATTGGATGAGTAGATTTCATCAACTTTTTTAAATAAGACTCACTAATCCAATGATCCTCTATGATTTGGGATGAAAATTTGGGATAAAAAATTAGAATACATAACATTGCTCTATTTATATATAAGGATATAATAATAAATTAAATACATGTATTTTTTATTTTTTTCCACTTTTTCTTTCATTCGCCGTACTAAACACAAACGAGGGATAGTGATTTTCTTTCCTCCGAAGATGAAAAATTTATCACTCACATTTTTCTATTCTTTCAATTTTTTTTTATTTCTGTCAATCGGAATATTATTTCTATCGAACGGAACATTAGAGTGGAAAGCACAATTCGCCCTATTTAAGGAGGAAAAAAGTTTAAAAATAAAGCTAGAAACGGTAAAAATTCCACAAGACCATGTCGGTGAGAAGTTGAAAAGACATCTGATCGCCAACGGTCTAAAAGGAGTAGACCCTTGGAAAATCACATCTCTGTCTCTCTATCTCTGTTTGTGTGCAATGGCGAAGAAGAAACGCAGAGTCCCGGAGGTTCTGTGGAGACTTTTCCACAACCGCGCTCGTCCCATAGCCGATACGATCATATCTCTGATTTCATTGTCATCGTTTGAATGCCGGTGCAAGGTTCGGGGATGCCTCGGTTGCGCCGGCGACGAAGCGATGTCGTTTCTTCGTAGGCCGGACGATCCCTCCGACTATCACAAGCTACTGACTCAGTGCTACGTTGTTGTCTCCGACAATGCGCCTCCGTTCTCGGTGTTTGATCCCGCCTGTCGGTGGTCACAACTTGAGGTCTCTTTAATTATTCTCTCTCTCTCTATACACGTGTGTGTCAGTGTGTGTGTGTGGTCATATATGTCTCTCCACCCCAAGTTGATGAAAGTTTTGCATTCTTGATTTTGGCGGGAAAATTACATAAATCTTGATCTTGATATTGTTCTTGGCGGGAACAATCGGAATCAAACACAAAAAAGTTTACCAAAGAAACTAAAAGTTTAAGTGTCTTGCTCACCATCTATGAATACATACATAGCTAGAGTTCCTTTATCTGTTGATTTGCGATGTAGCTATAATCTATTAATCTACCTACTTCTGTATATCGAGCGACAAAGACTACTTCTTTGATTTATTAAAAGTATTGCATGTGCATGTTTAGAAATCTGACGAGTCTTTTTCACCAGATTCTCTAATTTTGAGATGTCTCCATATCTGTAGTTTAAAGTCCTATGGGCTCTTGGGAAACAATATTAGAAAATGGGGGCGAGCTAACGAAACCTAGTTCTTGCCAGACTTTGTTGGTTAGGCTATCATCTTAATTGAAACATAAACCCTTAGGGGGTTGGGGGAAGGGTCAATACTCACATCAATACTGGAACATGAAACGATCTGAAAATGTGACCGGCTAGTTTTGTTTATCCAAGCTTTTAATTTTCCATTATTGTTGGCCCCTGGAATTTTTAATTTATGCAATCTTGCAATATAATTAACCATATCACCTTTTTTCCCGTTCATGGCTTGTATGGAGGCATCCAATTTAAATATATAACACTCATTGGTATCTATAAGAATTGAACCACTGACCAGCGTTCTTCTTCTATTTGTTTACCTACACTTTCATCACCTTGTTTTAAGGGCTTTGGCTTGTATGATTTACTCTTTTATTGGCTGCCTTGCTTGAGAAATAGTTTAATGAAAATGGAGATGAACTGGAAAAACGTCTGATATTGTTTTTGGATCGAGCGGAAAAGGGATATATGAAGTTCGTTCTATTCCTCTGTGCGTCTATGTGATGGGTAAATCTCCATGAAAAAGGGCCAAATTTCGTGTAGTCTGTGATTGGATATGTTTCACCAATCATTTTCCTGTTGGGCTTGGTATTGAGGTGCCCATGTGATTGACTACTTCAAAATAACATTCTTGATCTGTTTCTTTGAGATGCTTTCCATTTGTGTTGCCTTACAAGATCAAGTTGCTGTTCACACTAAGGTTATTTTGTTGTGATTTTACAAACACTCATATTGCTTCTTGGAGCTTGAGGGCAAAAGGTAAAGCACTATATACTTGCGAACTTTTTCTGTGATGCTTTTTAAATGGTGCTTATTGATTATATTCATATGAGTCTTGCATACCTAGTCTATGGTTTTATTTTTACTAGTTGTTGTTTCAGATTGTTAGGAGGTCTATTGAAATGATAATGCGTGAGCAGCCCACATCTTCTAATGTGATATGCAGTGGCTATGACAAGGCAAGTAATCATCATTATTGCAGGAACTTTTTTTTTTATGCCTTTTTGTTTCTATCAGCAAGTTGAAATTTTCTTAGTCAACATTTTTAAAGATTTATTTTAATTATTATTGATTTGCTGCAAATAAATTATGTAGTTTTGATGCTATTTCCCTTCTTTGATTGTTCAAATTGCTATTTTAAATTTTTTGAACATGCAGGATAGATCCTATGTTCCACAGTTCTGTTAATCCCATTCAAATGGAAATCCCTTCCCTTTCTTATTTTGCCAAACTATTCATATGTCATCATTCATTGTTTTAGTATTATTGATAGATATTTTTCTATTTCTGACATGACCTTGTTTTTGTGATGATATTTATGCATCAAGACCATGCTATTAACAAGAGTTGTGACATTCATATTAATATTACTATTGACTATTTTTGCTGAAGAATATGTAACAGCTTGTCATTTAAGTGGGAGTGACTTCAACTCTTCAATAATCCTTGTATTTTGTGGTGATGATTTCATTTATATCGGACAGCACAGCCGTTCAAGTGCCATTGTTGAGCTTTTAACATGTTCAGCATGGGGACTTTTCTTAGCACGGGTATGTTCATAGTTGCTTTTATCTGTCTTTTTGCTTGGAAAAGTATGTTCATACATGTATATATGTATGTTTCTCCTTTCGTTTGTATAAGTGTATGCGTATTGTTGATGATGGGGGTCAAATTCCATGGTATGCAGGTTGGTGATGGGATAATGTCTTATTTACTGAAGTATTCGTCAATATTTTTGCCCCTTTCTCGTAAGAAATACCATCAGGTGGCTGGTTTTTCTACCAGTGATTTGTGCTTCAATTACTCAAAGCATATATCAAAGATTGAGTTTCAGCATCCTCCACTCGTCCTTCTTGGTAAACAGTATTTGAAATCTGGTCGTCGCTTGAATTTCTGATTTGCTGTGCATTTGTTCTGATTAACTTGAGAAAAATGTACTGAATCTAGCCTTTTTCTCTTAGCAAATAGTTTGGAGTACTGGGAAATGCTTTGTCGGGTTTCCAGTGATATATTTTCTGAATTAAGTTAATTTGAAGTGTGAAGAGGAACACAATTTCATTATGCTCACTTTTATTTGTCCAAGTGAAAAAAATCAGAGCTGGAGCATCTGTTAACATGAATCCATGTTTGTCACATGTGCTTAACAAACTGACTCGGTTGCTTTTGAAAAAACTATGGACCTAATTTTGTAGATGGTTCCGTATAATGTAATCATTCATCATACGGTATACTTTAGCCAACAAATATATGTAAAGAATATATGAATTTATTTCATCAGAATTGTATGGTTGTTCCTTGCACAAAAATGTCTTGGCTTTATATTCGCAGTTACGTACAACATGATGACTTAACTCGTAAGAAATACCATCAGGTGGCTGGTTTTTCTACTAGTGATTTGTGCTTCAATTTCTCAAACCATATATCAAAGACCGAGTTTCAGCATCCTCCACTTGTCCTTCTTGGTAAACAGGATTTGAAATCTGGTTGTCGCATGAATTTCTGATGTGCTGTGCATTTGTTCTGATTAACTTGAGAAAATGTACCTGAATCTAGCCTTTTTCTCTTAGCAAATATTTTGGAATACTGGGAAATGCTTTGTCGGGTTTCCAGTGATATATTTTCTGAATAAGTTAATTTGAAGTGTAAAGAGCAACACAATTTCATTATGCCCACTTTTATTTGTCCAAGTGAAAAAAATCAGAGCTGGAGTGTCTGTTAACATGAATCCTTGGTTGCCACATGTGCTTAACAAACTGAATCGGTTGCTTTTGAAAAAACTATGGACCTAATTTTGTAGATGGTCCCCTATAATGTAATTGTACACTCAATCATTCATCATACAGTATACTTTTGCCAAAAAATATTCGAATTTATTTCATCGGAATTGTATGGTTGTTCCTTGCATAAAAATGTTTTGGCTTTATATTTGCAGTTATGTACAGCGGTGAAGCCATTTATTCTTCTATTTGTTATTAGCTTTGCTTTCTAGAAATTGGTTTTCTGTTTTAATCGGCTGTAGGGCATTCTTAATCCCAGCCCCACCCCCCGACTATTTAATTATGTTTGCTAAAAAAGTTAGTCATATGATTGCCATTTCTTCTGCTCAACTTGACTTTACTTGAATTATAGATCTTAGGTTGCTGCATAGTGTTTTGTCATAAACTTGTTTCTCTTCTCTTACCACATCAAGACATATATTAATTCAAGAGAAGATAAATTGGAAGAGGAGGAGAAGAAGAAACTAGGAATTCCATTTAAAATATCATCAGAATCACCTCTCAAAGACATGGAAAGCTCAACTGGTGCTCAAGATTCTCTACTCTTCATTTGTAGACAACCTTTGTTGATGATTTCTGCTGCTGGACTCAAACATAATAAACATAGTAACTCGACAGTCTCTGTTGAGATTATAGATAAACATAAATGGTCACATTAACAACCTGATAAGGTATCTGACCCAAAATGAGACCCACTGAACCACTGATATATCATGATATTCCAGAGTATCATTGACTTATAAAGCATAATATTGACCTAATGTTAGACTTTATGCACACCAAAACATGATGCCTTAAGTTGAACCCATGCGTTTCTGTTTGTCCTTTTTCTTTGTTGATTGGCAATGATGAGGGTTGAACCCTTGACCGAAAAAATCGGCCCCAATTTTTCCTTATTAACATGCCTTGTGTCAATGCCTCAGAGGTTGTTTGCTAGGGATTGCGTTTGGTGGGTTCTATGATTGAAGCCCACAATTGGAGCATGGAATCTTAGTTTTGTGACCAAATAACTACCGTTTATGTTCAGGACCTTGGCAAGTGCAATTTGATTCTTTTGAATTTGGTGACTTGCACACACCTAGATCTCAGCATGGATAGCTTTGGTAGGATTTTTTTGTGACTGTTCAAGTTTATAAACAGAATTTTAAATCTCTACATGCTTGGTTGAGTCAGAATTTTTTTGTAGAGAAGTGGAAGAAGAACAACTCCGCATAAAAGGAATGGTTAATTGTAGGCTGTGCAACCTGGATTATAGATATGAACGAGGAATTAATTATGACCCTCCCCTACTGCGGTACATTACTCTCTTGCTTTACGTCAAGATACCTGAGCCATAATGAACCTGCATTTGCTCTAGTTGCTTCTTGTACCGCTCTCACCTTGCTGCTATCTTTTGATTGATGTTCTTCTTGAAGCATTCAAATAGAGTGGGTTCATTTTTTTCTCTTCTTGTTCGTGTTGTGTCTCCCTTAACAACTTAGGTCTAGTTGCTTCTTGTACTATTCTCACCTTGCTGCTATCTTTTGATTGACGTTCTTCTTGAAGCATTTGAATGGAGTGGGTTCATTTTTTTCTCTTCTTATTCAAGCTATGCGTGTCTGTTTGTGTGGGGCTGCTATCCTAAATTAATCTTTATTGAAGCCATTATGTCTTGAAGATTGCCCAAATATTGTTTTTTATTAATTTGAACAGGTGTTATTCAATGTAGAACTTTCAGGGTTTCCAAAGAAGAGGAAAAGAGTTGATGAAGTAGACTCAGCGTCAGAGAACTGGCAACCTAGTACTTATTTTGGTGTTGATGTTCCATACAGTTCTGTTAATTGTGCTGGCTGTAGTGGCAGAAGCTGTTCAGTTTCATTTAGTGGCGACTGCAAGAAAAAGTTCTGTGAAGAGAGTTTATATGAAGAAGCTTCTGTAAGCAATGGAGCTGATGATGCTAATAATAAAGGGGATCCTAGTAGGAATTGCCAAGAAAGCTTAAATCAGAGTCTTGCAAAGACAAGGAAGCGTTTCAGATGGTATAGTTGGCGACGGCATAGAAAGCGAAAGCAATTGACATACCATGAGACCTTTTCTTTGATCCCTTGCACGAGTAGTCTCATGAACAAAGAAAGCCTAAGATCTTGCCCTGAAAAGGTGACTTTCGCTGAAGTTTATTTGCTTTGTTTTCAGTTTGAAACTGTAAGCAGGCTATTGGTGGTTTGCCATGTGGATCTTTAATTTATGTTTTCATCTTGGGCATGAGTTATGGAACATCATAATATAAGTGTTGCTTATATAACCTTGTTGAAAATGTTGTGGTTGAACGGTGATAGAAGTACTTCACAAGTTAATTCTGTTTTCATTTAATGCTTCTTAGATTTTATGTCAATGTAGATTTAGACAATAAAGTTTGAAGTTTGAAAAAGACTAGGGGAGATATATTTTTGAGCATTACTAAAATTAGATAAATTAAATGAGGAACTACATGTCTGAATGTAATGTTGGTTAGTGTTAAACATGGGAGATTAATTTCTTGTCCTGGAAAATCTGAGAGATGGAGTTTTGGTCTAGGGGCTGTATATTATATAGAATTAATTTTTCAAATGTGTGCTCTGGTCAAATCTTCTTTTATTTTCTCTTTATAAAATATTGTTTGAAGTTAATTGCTTGGTTTGATGGTAAAAGTCAAAGGTTTAAGCTTGGGAAAGTAGATTAGATTTCTTAGCAGCAACTTCTGGCCAATGAAGTTTGAGGTTAGGTTTGTAGCCTGTCCAGTCAGCCGACCACCTATTGACAGTAGCATCTTTGATTCTCATCCAACAACAGTAGTAGTGGGTACTAATGGTTATTACTTTTTAAGTGGATTTGTATATTATGGTAACTTGCTAAAATTTCATAAAGCATGTTACGATCGGATTTCAATGGGGATTGTTGGGTAAAATGGAACCCAGGACAGTTAGCACACCTATTTCTCAGTAGTACATTTTATTCAATATCTTGTGAATTTTGGTTGATTTCCATTGTCTACTTGAGTATGGGATCTCTGATATGCATATATTTGATCAGTACTGCATTTCAGTGTTTTGACAAGTGTCACAACATAGATTTGCTTATTGCCCAGGCAAAATCTTATCGAAAGATTTTACATGTTCTATTGCTGTAAGCTTCGACTTACACAAATATTTGTCAAATCTTTCTGTGTAAATGCATCTGGAAATTTATCTATAGTTGACACATTTGTTCGCTTCTGTAAATGTTCATATATCCAATTGTGGGTAGAGAAGGTGGACAACAATGATGTATCAAGTTTCCACCTGCACTCTCAAAAGCTAAAGTATTATTACATCCCCTCAATATTTGCTTTATTTTACACCCTGAAGAACCCCAATTATTCTCACACACACACACACACACACATATATATGTGTGTGTGTGTGTGTGTGTGTGTATTGTCCTCAGTTATCTAGGAAGGATCCTTGAACTGTTCACAACATCTGAGAAAAGCTGCAAACCATGCCTAAAAAACCTTCATTAAAGCCTTTCTACAATCAACTTTATCCTTGAATTGATCCTGAACTTGTATTATCGTAGGAAGGATCCATTGTACTCTTCTTCCCTGTTTTTGTATTTTGTTCTTAAAGCTCCTTTGTGCATCTCAACATAAGAATATCAGTTATGTGTGTAAATCCTAAGACATCGAGATCAAGGAATTAAGGAAAAGATTAATATTCTTTCAGACGCTCTATAGGAGTAGGAATAATATCTAAAACTTACTTGCTTCTATATTATCTCCTACGAATCCCATGTTGAGTGGGCCTTCAGAGAATATTGCTATGCTGGAGTCCCTCACCATAGCAGGGCGTGACCTTTTAATTGAAATTCCATTTATGTGAATTTCCTGATCTTAACAGAAATCATGTAATTGATATACTAAAAAACACGGAGGATTTACTTTATTTAGAACTATATTGATGCCCCCACCTTCTCATTGAGGAGAGTGGATGTTAATGTAAAGCGACAGAGCAAATGACATCTGTAGATGCTTTCAAAACATCATTCATTCAGCATAATATTTTTCTAGTTTTTTTGTGTCTGCAGATGCCTTCACAGTGCTCTTGTTGTTTGGTGTTGCAAACTCTCCGTGGTGTCAAAGAATGCTCTCAGATTAATAGGCAACCCTTGTTCTATAATTTGGAACGCTCTTCATACGTTCTACCGAGAAAACGTATCCTCTTTTACCACTTCCGTATCATATACTAAAATGCTAACCCAGCTTCTGTTTTATTTTCAAGTATTACTGAATCATCATCATCATTATTGTCATGCTATATTTTCCGTCCACGAAGTAGATCAATGTATCAGCATCAAGTTGATCTTCCATAACCTGGAAATATTCACTCAATAAACTCCTTTGCAGGCGTGTAACTCTCCCTTTTGTTTTCATGCTTTCCAACTTGGCTTATTTTTTTTTTTCTTAAATTTTTTATTGGGTCCTATTGCACTTTCTTTGGTGGGAATGAATTTGCATACCACCTTAACTATTTACAGACATATTAAATTCTCTGAAACCCAATCTTTCTGATGCAAATGTTCTGTTCAAGGATATCTTTGGCTTATCTGACAATAATATTACTGCTCAGTCAGTCACATGCTGCCACAGTAATAGTTCGTGTCTCATTGGATTCACCTGCATGTAAGTGGTGGAGCAGTGGTCAGGTTATACTTGATTATACACATACTGATTTTGTATTTAAACACAATCTATCTTGTTATTTTTGCTTTGGCTGCCATCCATTGCTTCGTGCAGTTTGGTCTTCACCCTCTATCTTCTTAATGCTGTGAAAGACATAGTTATCGAAGGCTGTATATATATCATTATTGACCACTTATACCGGAAACTCTGCAGGCAGGAGCAAATAAGAGTTGTTTTTGAGATGTTTCTGTCTATTTGTGAATAATGTGGACATCTGGAATAATCTTTATGTCATATGTAAGTTTTGTGAGAGTGGTAAGGCTATAAAGGGTATGAGTTAAGTTGCTGAACATGCGTTTCATGCAGTTTGTAGATTTATATTTACAGAAGCCTTTTTATGTAATGTTATCCATGTTTACTAGCAGAGGCTATCCTTTATTGAATAGCACAAGAACAAAACTTCTTGTGTATGGATAAAAGTTTGGAAAGTCCTTGGGATACATGGTTGTCATCCCAGATTTTGATAGAAGTTATAGATACGTTTTTAATGTACTTGCAAATTATCAAAAGTATGCGCAAGGAAACTTTTGCTCTATATGTTATCAGATTTTAATAGAGATTTTGGGGGGGGGGATATTGCTAAGATATATAAACAGGTTGAATACATGAAAGGGTTGAAAGTATATAGAGCAAAGCGATGCAAACAATTGTATGGAGCATAGTTATTAGTATCGTATAATACGCGATATGTATCAAATGATATGTTACGATACACCTTAAAAACGATATGTATCGTGTCTTTGTATCGTTATTGTACCGTATCGTACGATACACGATCTGATGCATACGATACAATACGTCCGATCCATGACAATCCTGTTTTTTTTTTTTTTTTTGGGCTGAAATGACATTATTTTACTGTAGGACGTATTGTTAAATCACTAGCCAGTGAAATATCGTCATTTCAGTGGTTATGGTTTAAAAAAAAAAAAAAAAGTCTATTGTTAATGTTTATCAATTGAATTCATAATTTCTAATTAATATTAAGGTTGTTCAAGCAGTTAATATTAAAAGTTTGAATTAGAACTCTTTGCATTTCGATATTATTGAACTATGTTGGGAATTTTGAATAGTTGGTAGAATATTAATGAAATGCTATGTTATTATAAGTCTATGATTTTCTTACAAAGGTGTAAATATATATATAAATATATATATATTAATTATTTTTTTAAAATTAAAATTGCACATATCTTATGATACATGATCCACGATACGATACATGATTTTTAAAAAACGAGACACCTTCTGATATGCGATTTGACAATTATGGTATGGAGAGCTTTGTTGTGAGCGAACAGTAATTTCAGGAATTTGTTTGTTTAGCCAGTGATTTGTTGTCACTTGTGGTTATGTAAGTGAACAATTTACTGGTTTTCTTATCTTTTCGTCACCCCCCTTCTATAATTATGCTTTTCTTGCATTTTCTGCTTCTTTGTTCTTCTCATATTTTTTCTTCCCATTTGTTTTAGCTGGTTTATGTTCATATTTAAGTCATGTTCCCCTTCCTCCTTTTGAGTTTTCTGTTTAATTCATTGTTCTTGGTTATGCAGATATCACTCGTTTGTTAAGTTGCTTAAAATTCTTATACACAAGGCTCAATGTTGCCAGCATTTGAGGTTACTGGATAAGCACTGTCTCATTCAATCCTTAAATCAATCCACTAATGAACATGATGGCTCCATGCTTGAGGTTTGTACTCAACTGAAAGCTTCTATGCTTTGTTTGTTTGTTAAGCCATAGCAGGATGAAAAGGGAATTTGGAGTCATTAATAATTTATAAACCTTTCTACCTTAAGTGTCTGTGAGATGTATTGTAAACCTTTCTACCGTTAAGTTTCTGTGAGATGTAAGCTCAGAATTCCATATTCTTCCTGGGTCTGTATGGTAACCAAAGGGAGCATTAAGCCACGTATTTTGCTCCATTGTGGTGTAAACTTCTCTGCATATATCTTGATGGAATTAATTTTCTAATTTCTGCTTGGATTGATCTATGCTTAGTATTGACTGCTAGCTAATTCTCCAATGTATGTGGTTATTCTTCTTCCATTTTTACCTCATGCTTGATCTTTCAGAAATTTCTACTTTTCATGCTGGTTATGGTTTTTTTCTAGACAACGTGCTGAACTCCATTGTTTAGTAGTATTCCTTGATGGCTATAATTGTTTATTTTTTATTATATCTTTTTTTTTTTGGAAAGGGGAAGAGGGAGGGGGGAGGGGGAGGGGGACTTGAACCCTTGACCTCAGGAGGATAAAGCCTTCCCAAAGTAAGGAATACCATTGGACCAAAGGCCCATTGGTTAATTATTGTTAGCTAGAACTTACTTAAACTTATTTTTCCAACTTGTACTAATGTTTGGCTTGATAACACTTGCATTTTTATTATTCTTTTACGTGTGACTTAATGAAATAAAGGACTTGCTTGGGTTGATAGGTTTTTTTTTTTGTTATTGTGTTCCTTGAATAAGAGACCTAAAACCAACGGCTTTTGGTCCAATGATATTCTTTGTCTTATGAAGGTTTTGCCAGTTCAAGTCTCCCTCATTGTCAAATATACTTTTGAATCTGCTATTGCATATGCTGATCTATTTGTAGCATGAATGCAAAGCTCTCAAATTGCTAAATTATGAAATTCACTTTACGTTTCGTTGTTAAAGTATTTTTGCGCAACTTAGTTTTCAACTGAGAAAGCAATGCACAACTTACAGCTTGATTATTGTGCAATCTGACTCAACCCTTGGCATAATGTGATATATGGCTTTAACCAAGGATCAAAATTTTGTTTCGGTGCATTGTTTCGGTCATTTAAGAGACGGAAAACATTTTGACCCGTTTTGAAAACAAAATGAAAAAAAATAAAAGATTTAAAAATTATTTTTTCAAAACATTGGTCGAAATATACCAAAATATCATGAAATACTTTAAAATATTCCAAAATAATTGTGCAAATGCATTGAAATATAACAAAATATTATGGAATACTTTGAAATATTAGAATTTTGATTTTGTCATTAATTCGTTTTGGTCTTCTTGGAAACGGAAACGTTTCGGATGTTTTGACCTTTTCGACACGATATTTTGATCCTTGGGCCTTCAATGTTACCGTCATTTCTATGTAGGATGTGTGTTTTGATGTAGGAGTAGCTACGTGAAAATTGAAAGCACCTTTTTCCCCTAAAGATGGCCTTGCTGAAATTGATATGAAGTCTAGAAATTTTTTTAGAATCTTGTTGGAACACTTGTTTTTGTAACAAAAAATCAAAGGACAGAAAACATTATTATGTTCAGTTACTCCAGTAATCTGAAAATCCATTAGAATAGCAGTGGAAAGGCTAGACAACCTAGTAGGGTAGTTTCAGATCCAATCTATGTTTTTCATGTGGTTACAGGTTTTACTCCCTGCTTAAGGTTGTTAACCCTAACCTTTACTTTACAGCTATAGGAAGCCCCCCACCCCCCACCCAACCCACACACACACACACAAAAAAAAAAAATACAAAAATAACTATATGTTTTGATCTCTAATTGTTGAATAAGTAGTTAAAAGATGTATATCCTTCCTATTTCCTTGATTAGAGACATTTATAGTAGTTTCAATTACCCTGGAATCTTACTTTTGCTCTCCCTTTGAAAGAATTCTTTTTCATTTTTTTGGATAGCTTTTAGAAAGTAAAGGCTAGTCTGAAAGTTTGGGCTGTTGTATGGTCAATTGGTTAAAGGAAGGTTGCCAAATGAAGACTGTGGCCTACATATCTGTTCCCTTTGCTAAACAAGTAACAAAACATCAAACCATCAGATTCTTTACCCAGATCTTACACTTTGTGAAAAAATATCTCCCTATCTTTTATTGGTCTTGATGTGAGTTTCCTTGGAGTACCCGAAAGGGCCGAATCCTCTGGCAATAGTTTTTTTGGGAAAATGGCACTGCCCAAGGGTGCTTAAGTTCCTTGTGCTGGGCTCTCCATCATGAAATTATATTAGTGGAGCTTCATTGAGTATTACCCTGAGAAACTTGATGGCAATCACCTTTTTGTGCCTTATAAAATTCTTTTAATGTTTGGGGTTCTCCTTTTGGGTAATAACTGAATAAATTGGGACATAGAAGGACATTGAGGGAGATACAATTTTTCTTTTTCTCTCCATGCTGATCTGAACAGGTTTTGCCATAATTGCCGAGTTTTTTGTTCTTGCTGAATCCTCGGGCAGTGGCTTCTTTGGAGCTGTTTAGTCTTGCAATTTATTTTTCCTTCCTTATTCCCAACTTTTTATCGCTTTAATGCCATCTGGATTTCTTGGAATAATGTGGAAGCAAAGGTGGTGATTTTTCTGTCTTTCTTTTTTTTTTTCCAAAAAAAGGAAAGAATTCCTCTCTTTAATTCTGCTTAACAAGCAATCTGGCTTTTGATATCAATGCACTGCCTTGTAACAAACTGTCTTTCAATATATGTTTTCCTTTTTTGGTTGTGGGTAGAAACTGTAAGTTGTTTGTAATTGTATGTTTCAGCAAAATGAATGTGGGACAGTTTCACTTGCGAAAGAGTATGATGGATTTCAGCTGGAAGGTGAGCTGTGCAAGTCTTATTGTCTGAAGAAGCAGGTAGTGTCATTTATATGGGCTGTTTGCAGGAGTATCATTCCTCAGGATTTACTTGGAACTACTTCTAATTGGAGAATTTTAAGGAAGCACATCTCCAGGTTTGTTCACCTTCGAAGATTTGAGAGATTCTCTCTAAAGCAATGTATGCATAAATTGAAAATATCAGGGTTCCCTTTACTATCAAATAAGCACTCTTCATGCAATTCGGGCAATCATGTGATGAGACAAGCAAAAGGACAGAGTGCAAATACGTATGACGGATGGAGCAGTATCAGTTTTTCTTCAGATACTATGAAGCATAAGGTTTTAGAAAGCTGGATCTTTTGGTTCTTTTCAAGTCTAGTAGTGCCATTGGTGCAAGCAAACTTTTATGTCACTGAAAGTGAGCATGGGAAACAAGAGGTTTTTTACTATCGGAAGTCAATTTGGGAGAAGTTGATGAGCCGAGCCATCACTTGCTTGAAAAATCAGAGCTATTGTTTACTAGATGGTGAATCTCTTAGAAAAATTATTGGCAAAAGATCATTTGGTTTCTCGAGAGTCAGATTTCGTCCAAAAGAAAATGGGGTAAGGGCACTAGCAAATCTCAAAGCATCATCAAGAATACCGGCAAAGCAACCCTCTTTTAGAGTTCAATCTTGTGGGCTGCAAGGAAAAGTTTCCTTGCATCCAAAAAGTGTTAAATATGACAATTTTAGGTCTGTGAATGGCGTACTTCGCGATTTGCATGTTGTCCTAAAAGGTATACAATTGAAAGAACCAGAGAAGTTAGGTTCATCAGTATTCGACTATAATGATGTCTTTAGAAAGCTGCACCCTTTCTTATCGGTTTTGAAGAGCAGATCGGGCACCATGCCTGGTGTTTTCATTGTCGTCTCTGATGTATCAAAAGCTTTTGACTCTATTAATCAGGATAAGCTGCTTACTGTGATGAAAGATGTGGCACTGAAAGATGGATATCTTCTTAAAAAGTCTCATCAAGTTGTCTGTGCTGAAAAATCTTTATGGGTTCATCAGAATCTAATATTAGGGCATCAAGATATTAGCACTGGGCTTTCAAATTTGACATCTGCTATTCCTGCTCATTCACGGCATAGCATCCTTGTTGATCAGGTATCATACTCAAGTTACTTTAAAAGGAAACTCAGCAATGGTATTTTTTTACCTTACATAACTACTAGTTCGGCTGAAATTTTAATAATTTTAGCTGTGTATATTTGATAATATGTTGATCCCAGTTGTAATGTTTCTCCTTTTATTTTTCTCATAGCTGGTGATTCTTTATGTGCTGCTTATAGTTAGGAGGATATTCTTTTGCATTCTTGTGAGCATCTGGCGTTGGGTTTCATTGTGCTTTATACTTTTTATTACCTTCATTTGGGGCGACTTCTGCCAAAAGCTTTGAAGTTTCTCTATCATGCACTGTTTTGGGTGGTATACTGTAGTATATACTGTTTAATCTGCTTGCAGATTTATTGATAGGCAGTGGAGAAAAAAAAATGGAAGACTACATCGTTAATATATTAAGACTATGAAAAGGTAACTATTTCCAGCCCTTGATCGTAGTATGATGCTATTTGTATGGATTATGGATTGGACCAAATAATAAGAGAAAATTTTGATCAGTGTACAACAGTGTCACTTGATGTATTGGTGAGTAAAAATGGATACTCAAACTAAGAGTAGAGCCTCGTATATATAGCCAAATAATAGTACAAAGTAATCTAAACATCCTTCAGGTCTAGACAAAATATAAAAGTCATAGTAAAGGTAAAAAAGGGAAAAAGAAACCGTAATAAACTAGACTAATTTCAACACTCCTCCTCAAGCTAGGTGCAAAAATATCAACTAAGTTAAGCTTGACAACAGAGTCCCGGAGAATGGATAGAGTGACAGGCTTGGTGAAAAAGTATTTATAACCTGATCATTGGTCCCCACAAATAATGGAGTGAAATATCACAACTAACTTCCTTCCGAAGAAAGTAAACATCGATCTCTATATGCTTCGTTATCTCGTGTAGTAAAGAGTCAGAAGCGAGCTGAATAGCAGATCGATTATCATAATATAATGTAAATGAAGAAGTCACTGGAAATTCCAACTCAACAAGAATCGATCGTAGTCAGATAATCTCACATGTGCCAAGTGCCCGATACTTTGCTTTTGTTGACGAGCGAGAGACAATTTACCGCTTCTTGCTCTTCCAAGAGATACGATGAGCCTCTCAAAAAGCACAGAAGCCCACACGTTTCCCCATAATCTGAATCTAAATAATAGGCTAAAGAATCAGTCTGAGATCCTGATGTATAGAACAATCCAAGTTTAGGACAAGACTTGAGGTACTGAAGAATATGATAAATTACATCAAGATGAGGTTGACATGACTTGTGCATGAACTGACTAACTCGACTGATAACGAATAAAATGTCTGACCTAGTGTTGGCTTGGTAGATAAGTCTACCTACCAACCTCTGAAAAACAGTTGGATCACTCAACTAATCTTCAGCTGTAAGCTTTAAGTTTGGAATCATGGGTGATGATGCTGGTTTGCACCCCAGCATCTCAGTGTCCGATAGAAGATCCAGAACATACTTCCTCTGAGAAAGAACAATACCTTTGTTGCTTTGGGCAACTTCAATCCCTATAAAATATCGTAGAAATCTAAGTTCTTTCACATCGAAAGCTTTTTTAAGGTCTACCTTGACCTGTGCAATCTCAGAAATATTATTCTCAGTAATAATAATATCATTTATATATATCAAAAGGATGACACACTGCCCAGAAGTATTCCGTCGAATAAAACATGTATGATCAGAATGACATCTGGTGAACCCTAAATGTACAACTACACTAAATCGAGAGAACTAGGCTCGTGGTGATTGTTTTAGTCCATAAAGAGATTTGCGCAGTCGACACACCTTCCCAACATACTCCCCCCTCATCACGAAAGCCTGGTGGTGCATTCATATAAATAATTTCGTCTAGATCACCGTGAAGGAATGCATTGTTCATTTATAGAGCTCAATGCTCATTACTCTTCTTCTGATGGTACTCCCTTGTCTAATCTTACACTTTATCATGCGATTATTGGGAGTGTAGTATATCTTATAGTCACTTGTCCGACTGTTCATGTTGTTAGTCAATTTGTTGCCTCACCCACCACTGTTCATTGGACTGCTGTTATTCGTATTATTTGGTATCTTTGAGGTATTCTACTCCTTTTCCTCTATGGAACTCGGGGCTTATTATGATATTGACTGGGTTGGTGCCTCTATGGACCGTAAGTCCACTGGCTTCTACATTTTCTTTGATGATTCTCTTATTTCTTAGAAAAGTAAGAAGTAAACTGTTATTTTTCGTTCATCTGTTGAAACTAAATATTGTGCTATGGCGTCTAAATATTGGTTACGATGGCTCCTTGCTGATCTTGACATCATTCTATCTGTGTTGACTCTTATATATTGTGACAATACCAATGCTATTTAGATTGTTTATAACTCAATCTTTCATGAGCTCGCAAAGCATATTGAGATTAATTGTCACTTTGTGCGTCATCATCTTCAGCTGGGCACTATCTCGCTCCTCTCTCTCTTCTACTATGCAGTCAATAGATTTCTTCACAAAGTCGCATACTATTACTCACTTTCGTTTTTTTTTTGACAAATTCTTGATGTTTTCTACTAGCATAGCATGAGTTTGTGAAAGGGTGTTAGAGTAGTTAGCATATTTAGTCTTAGGGGTGACTTAGTCTTTTTTTTTTTATATTATGTTGCCCTACTATATAAGGACTTTCATTGTGTGTCTCACATTTATGCTCTGACAGATTAATATAGCCATAATATAGTTTCATTTTTTTCTTTCTTCTCTCTCCTTTGTTTTGACCAATATTATCATGCCCATCATTGCTGTTCACACGTGGTGTTATATTGGGGAAAACAACACTCCATAGAGACATAGAAATAAGAAAAGGGTGCTGTCTATGAAGGCCACATGTCCAAAACTATCCTTGAAATAGACACGTGTACCAATTTATACTAATTCTTTTGTTTGAATCTGGCTAGGACTAATTAACTAATTTAACAAGTTAAAATTGAGTCTATAACATAAAATTATTAAAGATAGGTGAAGAAAACTGGGTTTATTTAATTTTGCACCTAAAACATGCTAATGTTTCGTTTTCTAGGGGAGGTGTGAATGTTAAAAAAAATTTACGTTCCCGGTTTTCGTTACTATTACGTGATGCTCGTTACACCCTGTGTCTACTATATTGTTACCGTTACCATTTCAACATCCGTTACCATTATTTAGAACTATACTAAGGAGACGTGTTGCCTGTAGGGTAAACATTGTTGAGTATGTAGATAATTATTGGGACTAGTTAGTAGGGACTCTTCTGGAGATGAGATGGTGAGGCCATCCACTGGAATATTAACGTATCACCTTAAAAAAAGTGTCTTAGGTTACCAGCCATCACATGCACCAAATTTTTTTCCGTGTTCAGTGGAGGAAGTATATTCATCGAAGATTGGCAAGTTGGTTGATTATTCTGGCGCTCCATATGTTGCTAGTATTATTGTTCACTGCGTGTTCTTTTCAATGTATGTATTGGTTGCTTGCAAGTTAAAGCAAAAAATAGGCACCACTTTGTAACTTGTGGGAAATTCTTGGACACTGATCATGCAAGAGGTTGAGCTTATGTTAGAATGGTCGCCCTGGAAGTGAATCTGATTTGTTAAAATATGAGCTGAAAAATACTTCAGTAGGCTTTGAGTTGTAAACAAATGATATTTCGTGGTCACTGGAGACGCCACAGATTACAAAGAAAGAGTTATTGTCCTGTTGGAAGGATCCTGATTACATACATAACATCAGCATTATTTGCTTGAAGTGCTTTCCATTATAGGCAATCCCACGTACTCATGCTAGTTAACCTGCACTTTGCCAATACACTAATGGATGGCCTTGAAAGGGGGCCGTTAACAAACAGATGGTGTAAGGAAACCATATCCAGTGGTCAGCCTATGTGTTAAACATCATGGTATCCTGAGCTGTGCCGGGGAGATTCTTAAATGAATTTGTCTTCCTGAAGATTCTAATTATTTTTATATAATATTTAATTTTCAGGAGTGGAGCAGAACTATTAGGAAGGAAGAGATCCACTTCTATTTACGTGAGCATGTGAAGGGCAATGTCCTGCAAGTAGATAAAAAATTTTACTTGCAAAGCGTTGGTATACCCCAAGGAAGTGTTTTGTCTTCTCTGCTTTGCTCACTTTACTATGGACATCTGGATAAGAATGTCATCTTTCCATTTCTTGAGAAGTCTTGTGGATCTGCTGCCGCTGAAGATTTATCAGGGAGACCTAATCGTCATGATTGTTTTTCTGCATTGGACAGTGGTGAGGATGAAATCATGTCATCAGCCCCTAAATATATGCTGCTTAGGTTTATTGATGACTTGCTTTTTATATCGACCTCAAAAAAGCAGGCTGCGTCCTTCTTCTCAAGGTTACAAAGAGGATTCCGCGAATACAACTGCTACATGAATCAGGAAAAGTTTGGCCTGAATTTTGATATTGAGCAGATATCAGGGGATACAAGAAAAAGGGTATATGTGGTTGAAGACGGCAACTCGTTTCTTCGATGGAGTGGTTTGTTTATCAACTGCTGTACTTTAGAAGTTCAGGCGGACTACACAAGGTTTCCTTCATTGTTTTGATTTATATTTTCATTATGCCTGGGGATAGATATATTTTGTGGGTCCAGCATATTGGTATGTGGTGCTGTCAAATCCATACTGCACTTATTCACAGAAAAAGTCTAGGTAAAAAGTGACAGTTCCACTTAATCCCACAATATCAATAATTTAGTACTAACCAAAAGCATTTTGTGAATTCCTTGTTATTTTCTGAAAGTAACTCAACCTAGAATCTGATCAGGTATCTGGATACCCATGTAAGTTCTACTCTTACCGTGTGTTGGCAAGACAAGCCAGGTCGTCATTTGAAGACAAAGTTGTGTCATTTTCTCCAGCCTAAATGCCATCCCATATTCTATGATTCAAGTATCAATTCAGAAGCTGTTGTCAGATTAAATATTTATCAGGCTTTTCTGCTTTGCGCAATGAAGTTCCATTGCTATGTGTGCAACTTGTCCAACTTCTGCAGACTTACCAGTGAATCGTATTTGGACGCTATCCAAAGTTCTGTGAGGTATGCCATTCTTTATTATTGTTTCCTCAAATTAAGGGTCATCAAATTTGAGTTAGTGTTGGTTAATCTCTGGATAGCTTTGACCTTTTTAGTAATTTTCCATTGTATTTTTCCGCCCAAAATCTCTAGTTTCCTGTATATCTCGTCTGTCAAACTTTTACATCTAGAGGGTGTACACACATATTGCTTTCTTTTTTTTTTTTTTGCCTTCTTTTTGTGTAGTTAAATTGCCTTTAGTTTGTTTCCTTTTAGGTATATGGACAAGCTCATAAAGAAGAGGAGGTATTGTATGGATCTTGCTTCTAATTTCTATCCAATTATTGAGGTGGGGAGGGGAGAGGTTGAGTGGCTTGGATTAAGTGCTTATATGCGAGTATTGAAGAGAAAACAGTCACGGTATAAGGAGTTGTTATCTTTATTGAGTAACAAATTGATGGAAACTAGAAAAGAAAATAGTTTGCCATCCGCACTCAGTTATGCAGTCGAAGATTCTCATTCCTCCTTAATGTGGAAAATAAAGTATTAGTTCTGTAATAAACTATCGTGCTGGGGAAGTTTGATCTGTTCTCATCTTCCAGCTTGTCAATAAATATCTGTGCTCAAGTGTTTCTTTCATTATGTTCGTTCGCCAATTTATGTCTCTTACTGGATTGGCCATACCAATGCCAAAAACTCTGCAAGTGTACAGTGGTGTGTGATATATTACAGGAAAGATCTTTTGTATCACCATCAGAAATTTCCTCTTCTACACTGCTGGTGGTGATTTCAGATAGTTCTGATAAATCTGGACGACAGAGTGACAGATAGTTCTTATCCTCTTGACTGGACAGAATCAGAGTTGGTTATAGCGTCGATGTTGGTTGTGTCTTCCATCACATATGCCTTTACTTTGTGATGACTGATGTTTGAGTTTCGGTTATATAAGTATGTGGAATTTGCATTTTTTCACAAGGAGATCAGCTGTGTTTCTTCTCAATAAGCAGTGTGTGCAGCACGGGGGGTTTCAATCTTTCACAAGAAGTCTGTTTGGAGTATATTGAGGTGCACTTGGAAATTTTGGGCATACTCTGTTTAACCAAGTTCATGTTCATGTTTGCTAGGAGCTGAAAATTGTGTATTATGATGGACAAATAGCAGTTTGCACCCCATCAATTTGCACCCTCAATGATTAATTATTTCAAATTGTACCTTCAATGAAATTAATTGGTAGCACTATGACCCCAATCATAATGTTTGTTGCTTTTTTTGTCAAATTGAAGGTCATGATAAAGAAATCCATGCGTTAGATTATGACAAACTTTTCCTTCATATGTGTTTTGCCATATCTTCACTTTTTTTTTTTTTTGATGAACAAGAGCCAAACTACAACACAATTCCTTAAAAGGAGAAGTGCAAAAGTGGCATTTTTGTTGGATTATGACAAACTTTTCCTTCATATGCGTTTTGCCATATCTTCACTTTTTTTTTTTTTGATGAACAAGAGCCAAACTCGCCCAAAGTCCCGATGTGGGACAACATCAATTTTTGATGAACAAGAGCCCAACTACAACACAAGGAGAAGTCTAGTAGCCGGCATATAAACACACCCCAAATTCACCCAAAGTTCCGATGTGGTACAACATCAATAAAATGATTTGATATCTTCGCTTTACATCTAATAAAAATCTGACATATATAAAGTTTTTTTTTAAATATTATTTTAATTAATAATTATAAATAATTGAAAATCAAAATTAAAGATTGTCAATAAATTTTAGTACAGTGCAATATTGAATCAATATGTTAGGGCTTACCTTGAAAATTCTTATTATAACTTTGGTGAATGTGGTATTGTTGTGAAAAATAGAGGGACAAGGGGAGAGACCAAGTAGTCACGTGTCATGAGATAAAATCAGTAACCTGTAAAATCCGTAAAGATAAGTTTTGTTGACTCGAATTTTAGAGTGCCTATTTTAAATTTTAAAAATATTTTATAATTGACTCAAACACGACACGAAGATATTATAATATGATACAATTAAGAGTTATTTAACGAGCATTAATAGATAGATTTTTTTTTAAATTATAAATGTCAAATATGTAAACTTTAAAGGTGCAATTTATAATTAGTCTAAACTCTTTTATCGGTAAAATGGACGATAATTAATCTCATGTACACATTGATATGAATTTATGTCTTTCGAAATTAGTCCCATGTACACATTGATATACGTCTTTCAGGGTATAAATAAATATTTTTAAATTTTAAAAGTATAATTTAAAATTTGAGTAATGTTTCGGGGTACAAGTTGCAATTAGTTCTAAAATATAGAACACTCTGCATGTATACTCTCATTTAATGGAAAATAGGAGGCAAAAGGGTACCTTAATTTGAATCGGCTCACAGACTCACGGGCCTTCTGGTATGCCCTCGAAACGCACCGCTCCAGTTGCGTAAGCTCTTCCTCACTGAACCGTTTGTGTTTTGCACTCTCTCTCTCTGCACACTCTAACAGCAACGAGCAAAGAAGAAAGAGAAGCATTAGGGTTTGGAAATGGCAATGGCTGGTCGTCTACGATCAAGTCTTCCTCTCTTTCGCAAGATTCTGATGTCCAATTCGCTCTCTGCTCAGAGATCCATGGTTCAACGGACCCTAATGTGCCCTACGTTCTCCAATCCCAAGGTAAAAACAGCAAAACGAATTCACGAACACTAATTTGAAATGAGTTTTTTTAATCTCTTTTTTTTTTTTCACGTCAGTTTTTATTTGATTTATGTTTGGATATGAGGTTTTTTAAAATTGATTTTGCTGTTTGGTTGCTCAGAAAATGCAGTTCTCAAGGAATTCTGCCACTGAAACTGCGCCGAAGGAACATAAAGCTAAGGTAACTAACCTATGTGAGCTTCAACATGATTTGGGATTCATTTCTATTCTATCTTGAAGTCTCTTTGAAGGAAAGAATGGAAGTTTTCATGTATTAACGTGCACTTCGTCAGCAACTCGGTGGCATCTCTTTGTTTTAGTGGGCGAAAATTTTGATGAGTCGTTAGACAATTTTGAAGAATGGATGCAATTTAAACATAAGAACCTCATATGTTGGAGTAGAAGAATATTAACAAATAACTTCAAGAGTTTAATGAAGTAGAAATATAATTATGAAACTCTTTCATATGTTTCTTCTGTGGCATGATTGCTCCAAATGATTGAGGTGCCCATGTTGAATACTTAAGATGAAACACCATTTATCCTAAGAAATATATGTACACTAATTTTTCACTTATGGCATCTTATACACTCATGTCATTGGATACAAGGACGATTGACACTTTATGTGTGTAGGAGGAAAACATCCCCCTGCAAAAAAAAAAAAAAAACCCAATCCACCACAAACCAAAACACACAAAAACAAAAACAAAAAGAAGAATTTAGTTACTATTTTCTTCATCTCTATGCCCTTGCAATAAGATTCCAACAAAAATAATAAGAAAACTAGGAATCAATGTGATTTTGACTCTGTTCACCATCTTTCCTATCTTCCAGAGAATTCTTTATAGATTCTCCAACTTTTAATCAGCCGACATTGGAGCAAGATATAGGAAGGGAATATGAATAGACAGGTTTTTTTTGGGTCAATGAATAGGTAGGTTGGATGATGCATTTTCTGATGAGAACTAAGTTGCATAGATGACTAGACTTAGTTCCTTCGGTCAGTTTTTTCAGTCTTTCTTTTCCTTTATCTCATAGATCCCACGACCCGAAGTAGGGTGGGTTCGTGATCTCAATATAGCTTAGATTCCCGATCTCAAATTATTATTCAAATCCCAAACTAAATACTAGTTAACTGTATGTATATAAATATATAATTTCATATATATAATAGAGAAAGCAATCTTATAGAAAACGAACTACGACTCAAATTAGCGTATCAACTAAGTTTACTCTTATCACACCGCGTATTAGAAGATGTAACGTACCATGTATATGTATCTGTATCACGTACCAAATCAACCTACGATCTATGTAACATTAGTTTATGTCTTGGACTTATTTAAACTTTGAAGGACAAAGGCACATTGAAGTATGTGAAAGCACAAAAGTAGCTTTCAAGCCCATCACCCCTTCAAATCACTTGAAAGTGACTCGAGTAATCATAAGTTGATTGTGTTAGGTACAGGAAAAAGTAGGAAGTTATTTTCAAATAAAACAAGTGATCATTGGAGTAATACTGCCTGCCATTAAGTCCTCCACCATATCTTCCTTGGCTTTGTAAAGTGATTATTCCAAACAATTCCAATGGCATGTCAAATTTATTTAGTAGCGGAAGAGAATGAAAATTTTGAAAAGACCAAATTAAAGTGGAAAATGAGGTTGATTTCTCTGTATCACTAATTCCGCTTGCTCGTGTTTTACACATGGATTTTGGGCATCACTCATGGGTTGTCTTCTGATTTTTAGTTTACTGTTTTTGTATTTTGTATGTTGAGGTTTGGACTTCTTGTCCACCCTCTTTTATTTTGATGTAATTTTCTTGTATTAATCTTTATCTATACTACTTGTAAATGTCTCCATATGTGAAAAACTTCTAATTTCTTATTTTTTCCCTAATTAATATTATTAAGTCAATTGTCCCCCTACATATATATCCTTACTAATGTCATCATTTTTCCTCCAATGTCCTATTAGAGTACATTAGCATCAGATCCTTATCAAAAAAGAAAAATGTTTCGACACGTGGATTACCTATCTAGGTTTCCTCCTGCAACTCCTATTGGCTTATGTGTCCATTTGCTTCATTTGAAAGGGATTGGACATGTGGTGGGCGTCAGAAATACAGTGGAAAGAAACTTGTTGTGGTTGTGTCAATTGTTATGTTGTATGTACTATGTATGGCATATTAGTTGCCAATTCTCATATCTTGAGCCACCTATATGTGAATGTGAAGATTTTATCAGAGTTGTAGTGCAGCATGGTGTATCACTCACATGGTAAGGAAGGGGTGAAAGCCAAACTCACATCTGGCAGAGTGATGTGTATCTTGTTATTTTAATTTGTATTCTGACCAGTACAATTAGTTGTATCACTTCTATCTATGGTGTGAAGGGGAACTCCCCACTTCTTCCTTCCTGAGAATTCTCTAAAAAGCTCGTTCCACCTCTGGGGGCAGTAGGGGAATTATGTTGTCGGATACTCTTAGTTTCTCCATTGTTAACAAAAAATATCCTAGGCTTAGATTCTTGGAATCTATGCGAGTTTAGGTGTGCTAATCTTTCATTTTTCTATGCCATTTCAGGTGCCTTTGCCATTGTTTGGGGGTTCTGGAAACTATGCTGCTGCTTTGTACATTCTAGCAGTAAAAGCTAATGCATTGGACAAGGTTGAATCTGACCTTCTTGAGTTCGTTGAGGCTGCAAATAAAAGTCCTACATTTTCCCAATTCATGAAGGATTTGACAGTACCTGCAAATACCAGAGTAAAGGCTATAAATGAAGTTTGCGCTCAAGCTAAATTTTTGGACCTCATAGAGAACTTTTTTGGGTATGAAGTGCCGGTGGTAGCTCATATTTTATTATGCATCAAACAAATGGCATAAAAAATAGATTAGACATAATTCTCCGTTCTCATGATTGATCAATATTTAGACCATTACATGGCTGGTTAAAGTGGTTGCATAGCATGTATTTGTGGCCTTCTTTTTAGACATATTATATGTGGAGCATAGGAACCAGAAAAGGGTCACTTTAGGAATTAACATGGAGCACAATTTAGTTCTAATGATAATTCATGTTAACTTTTTACTATTTCAAAAATTAGAAAAAATATTTTGAATGGACATGCTTTAGGAATTAGATTTCAAGAATGAAGGGTATTTTGGTCTCTTCAACAATGGGATAAAAACAATAGCGGTGTTCTTTGGAGACCTTAGTGGTCTAGCGGAGGTGGAGAATTCAAAGAGTCCAATCATTGTCCTTATAGAAGTTTAGTAGCCTAGGGTTGCATGTGTAGTTGTGTACACCTAATCTGTAGTATTGTAGAGTAAGGTTGTCAAAACGTATATCGAAAAGTGTATCATTTTTCAAAAATCTTATATTGAGTATCATAACATATTGTGTATTATAACATACGTGTAATTTTATAAAAGATATTAAAAAATACGTATACCTATGAAAAAACGGAATATTAATATTTCATTGCAAACACAAATTTCTCACATAAAATAATTTAAAGACTACAAGGACCAAGACAAAAAGTTAATAATCTAAGTATTCATGTTCTAATGTAATTCATTAATTTCAAAATTTAGAGAGTTCTAGTTCAAACATGGAGGATACTTTTAACAATCAAACTATTTGCTATTGCGATGGAACGAAGAACAAAAAAAGACTTCTATTTTTTCAAACCCTAGATAGTGAAACAACGTTGTTTCACCACCTAGTTTTTTAAAAAATTACTTCCATGTGAAAAGACGTTTTCTTGTTAAAATCCAAAAAAAGAAAAATTTGACTTGTTTTGCCTCGCATGTGATGACTCATATGTATCGTCTCGTATTGGATGTATCACGATACGGTACAAATCCGATACACTTAAGTGATCTATATCATTTTCTTCATATATTGAAATTTATCGTAAGATACGTATCACGTATCGTACGATACTAACAACTTGTAAAGTAGTTTACCAATTCAATAGTCACATCTTTGTCCTTAGAGAAGTCTAGTAGCCTATAAGTGCTTGCGTAAACCTTTATTGAAGGGAATTGCATTTCTAAAATATGTTAAGCTTTTGGAACTTGTATGATGCTTTATGCAATCATATTTGGAAATTTGAAAATGATTCCTCCGGAATTTTATTGTGGGGATTGGATTCTCAAGTCTGATTTCTTCCTCTTCTTTTGCTGTTTTCTCTACTTACTGCACCTGGGACCATACCTTCTAAATTTATCCTTTCGACCTGGGGAAACCTGCTGTAATAGCACTTTCTTATATCCACGATTTGATGGATTTCACTTTAGCAACTAAAATCACACAAATGTAAAAGCTATTGTTTTCGAGTTACTAGTCAGAGCCCCTGTACAGCCCCTCTGTCAACCCCAAAAATCCAAAGCTACATCAAGCCTAAATCAATCCGAACTCATTATAGTAACCTTTGGCCATTAAAAATAAAATGACACACAATTAATTTGTATCTCTTGCTGTCCACAAAATTCTTGCACTCTTTCTTCATTCTCTTGCAGTCAAATGCTATGAAAATCAAGCCAGTTCCATTCCTTTGCCATCCGCAAAGCAAAGGAACCCGCTTTTACTTTGTAATGCACTAAAATTCCAAGCTTGTCAGTTAGTGGCTGAAGGATATTTAGTAACTAAACCATAATTTTATGGTTCGTTTAGAGACAGGGTTAACATGACCTCCGGTTACCTCTTTCCTGTGACCAAAAATCTTGGTACAAACAACCATAATACATTCCATCACAATTACCATGTTTGATCGTTGCTGATTTTGTGGCTGTACACTATTTTTTTTGTGGAAACCATCTCCTAGAAGGAACTCAAGCATCTTCTTCTGGTCCAAATAATATTTCTTTAGGAACTCATGGACATTTTTCTCATATCATCTGTGAAGCAGCACACCAAGTTGAATGATCATAATATGCTTACAAGGAAAACATAATAAAGGCTTTGCCTGTCTTTATGAAGCTAGAACTAGAAGTAAGCACACACTGACTGATTGACAAATTGTTTGTAAGTCCGTACCATTCTGATCTTGCACCATAACTATCCACTTGACTGTGAACTTTCACTGCATGTTTATGTGCTTGGTTCAATGGTTTGGTTGTTACTGTTTGGGCCATATTGTAATTTTATTATTCTAGCCTATCTAAATTTACTGTAAAGCTTCCTTGTAGTCCGTAGAATTTTTTGTAACTCTATAAAATTTTTAATAGTTGTTGTGGCCGAAAATGGACGGCTAAGATACATAGAGAGTATAGCGCAGAAATTCAGAGAGTTGACCATGGCACACGGGAGAAGTTAAAGCTACTGTGATGTCTGTTATTGTAAGTTTCATCCCTTGGAATGTAGTTTCTTTATTTCTGAATAGTTGTGCTACAATATAAAATGAGTTTGAACATGAGTGGTAACTTCTGGGCCTTAAGATTTCTCTCTCTCTCTCTCTCTCTCTGACTGGAGGAGTAGGAAAATTATCCTTATTATAGTCTTTTGTGCATGCAACATTTATGTCTATGCAGAATCAAAGGCTGATTGTTGACAAATATAAAAATTATAAGCAACTGAATAAAATGCCAAATATTTTTGTGGTCCCTATGAGTTATTCATTTTCTGCTCTTGACTATCAACCATCTTTATAGAGTCCAATAATTGGAACTTTTTGGCAAAATTTGTAGTGATAGGAGCCACAAAGAGTTGCTTTTATTTTCTGGATGAATGACCAATGTCATTGTAGCATCTAAATTTTCAGTCTTCTCCACATTTTTTTGTGGATTCCATTGTAAGTATAGTCTCTAATCTCTATACTTACTTTGACCATTATCTGCCACCTACTAAATCTGATCTTGTTACAAAAAAATAATATAAGTCTAGTGACATTACCCATATCTTAGTGATGTATATCACGTTTTGCCAAGTTCCAGCTAGTAGAATTTGTCTATAGTTTTACAAGAAGTCATAGCGGCGGCAAAGAATATATAACATTCCAGGACAATTTTGACTTACATTGCTAGAAAAGTTACTGGCAACAGATGAACTAAAGTATGGACATGTAAGTTGCTTCAAATTTGTCAGGGAGGTACAAAACTACTATTGGCGTTGCAGCTACTCCATTTTTAGTGTAAGTATTTAAATCCAGATTATTTTGACCTGTTGGGCTTATCTGAAGTATATTGTTTCTTTTTCTTTTCTTTTTTGGTAGGAAACATGAAATTTTATTAATCCTGAATAAAATCATAAAAGAGAACATAAGAGGACAAGGAGTCCTCTTGATAAAACTTACATACAAAAAAGATACATAACATAAAAGAAAGAGATTAAAAGCAAAAATATAAGCATAGCAAAATACAAAATAACAAATCCCAAGCCTCAACTATTGGCATACACTTGAGGCCAATGATCCTTAGTTAAAAAAAAGGTATTACTTCAAAATCCTTCATCGCAGTAACCCAAACAGAAGTTATGAAAGTGATTTTATCCCTTAAATCTTCTCAAGAAGTCTCTTGCTCTTCAAAATTCACCCATTTCTTTCCAACCACACCATCCAAAACAACGCTAAAATTGCACATTTCCATAAAGTTGTTTCTTTTTCAAAATATCTTAAATCTCTACTTTTACAGGCCTACTTAAGAGGTTGATTTGAATTGTTGAATTCTGATTACTGATCCTTCTGCTTTTTAGCAATTTTTCAGTAGTGGATAGTGGTAGGTGAAAACCTGATTGCAACTGCTGCTGATCACAATATTTTCGCCTTTCTACCAGGCCCTTCCTCCAGAAGAGGAGAAAGAACTGCAGAAAACGGTACAGGATATAATTGGACTGGGGAAGAAAGCTGAGCTTGAACAGAAGGTAGTGTGCTTACCACAAATCCCACTGATATGCTGATAGTTTTCTAATTTTCATCTTTTTTTTACAATGGAAGCATCTCTAACAATGCTGTGTGTGTGTGTCTGTGTGTGTGTGTGTTTCAGATTGATCCCAGTATTCTTGGTGGGCTTTTGGTGGAATTTGGGCAAAAGGTTTTCGACATGTCCATTAAGACTAAGGCACAACAGATGGAGGGGGTCCTTCCTGAGCCCGTTAGCGTTAATCCTTAAAATGTGTTTCACCACCTTCAAGTCCCTCCGTTATGTTTATATGTGCATCTTGCTTCCTATGCTCAAAGAAGGAAATGTAGTATTTCTTTTTTCTTTTGAGTTTTTGGGTTGCTCGCTCTTCTTACGTTTCATCCGATCGCAAATAAATACTGCTTCTCATCTGCATTTTCTCATGACACAGCCTGATTAATCCCAGCCTTTCTGCATGTTTTTTTTATGCACTCGTTGAAATCGTGATTTCTCTAGTGCAGTCCCAGTATGCTTTCTTGACCTCGTGTCGTAGAAGTTGTTTCTAGGATGTTACTTGAAGAAAGTATAATATTCATACTGACTGGAAACTGAGACAGATTTAATCAGGCATCTGTATGAGAATGAACTATTGGTTTCGAAGTATTCAATTGGCTTGAGAGTTTACTCATTTCATGGAAAGGGGCGAAGTCTTAGAAGCATGATGAATCTAGATTGTTATGCCTATTTGTGTTTAAAATGTTATGATGTTGATGAACAGGACTAGTGGAAAATATGTTGTAAGATCATTGGAAATCTGACTCTATTCAATTATACAAATGCCTGTTATAGAAAAGGAACATCTCTCTTTGTGCTGTGGAAGGACTCGGTGAAGGGAGGGGATCCTCGGCAAAGATAGGTACGCAATAGCATGGCAATGGAGAAAAAATGTATATGAGTGTGTATAGAGAAGTTTGGCGTGAACTTTCAGGATAACTCAAGTGATAAGAGGGATGAGTTGTAAATTTAAACGTCATGAGTTCGAATTTTAGCAGTCTTTTGGGATCAGGTTATAAAGGGTTTATCAATTATGAATACTTTAGTCTTAACGTCGATGACTTTTTTTTAACCGGACTGGGAAGAGAATTGGTTGAGATACGTGCTATTGAATCAAAAAAAGAAAAGAAAAAGAAGTTTGGTGCGTGGTTATTAATCGGATCACGGTTCTCGTTCTCGACTTGGGTGATGATTTGCTGAAGGCAAGGTTGAGATGGATTTGTGTGATTAACAAGCTAGGGTTTAGTACATGTTTAAACTCTTTAATGTTTCAAGCTTGTTAAGCTATTCGATTCGTTTGTAGATTGATCCATAAGATAAATGCGAGTCAAGTTTGAACTTTATTCAATTCTCGTGCAAATTTCAAGCTTTGTTTGGGGAGCTTTCTAGTGGGCTCGATCTTTTTATACCCTTTATAGGCCTCTCCTCTCGCATTATCCAACACAACTATCCATGGCAAAGATAAACAACTTTAAGAATAGTTTAAGTGGTAATAAAGATGAGTTGTAAATTTAAACATTATAAGTTTAAATTTTAACAATCTATTGAGGTTAGTTTATAAGAATTTATCTTTTATAAATATCTTAGTTTCTGCATGGATGATTTGTCTTTAACTAAACCGGAGAGAGGATTAGTCAAAGTGTGCATAAGTTGGCTCGGACACTATTGATCGTTGAATTAAAAAAAAAAAAGAAAAAATGAAGAGATATTAGTCGAGATTCGTATAAGTTGGTTTGGACACTATTGACAGATGAACTGAAAAAAAAAAAAAAAAAAAGGTTGAGCACTTGGGTTAGACTTAGAAACAAATCTGGTAACCCTAACCCTTTCTTTTTGTATGGTTACCTTGTGCAATTCCACTTTTCGAACTCATAATTTGTGGAAATTCTTCAGAAATAATTGTCACTTTGCAATCATATGAGAAGAACTGTCAATCTATGATAGATACCGAGAAGTATAAGGTAGAACATAGGAAGAACCTACTATACCGATTTGATAGTTTGCCAAAAAAAGTTGTGATCCAATAAGATAAGCTACAATTCAACAAGATCGACCCTAAATTTTTAGGATCGATTCAAAATTTACCCATTCGATTATATTTTGATTTGTTTGAAATGTAATTTCTCGTAACTTTGGATATGATATCGAAAAATTATTTTTTTCATATCGCAGGAATATCCATTAGGTATAAAAACTATCTGGCTCTAGAACTTTCTTGTCTTTGTGACCAAGTAGCTAGGCTGTGTTTGAGTAGCTTGAGAGTTTTGTTGTTCTTTTTTCTCCCCACAAAATTGGTAAAGTTCCAGTCAGCATGCAGGGTTTGGGACTTGAAAAAACCTAAGTTACCGAAGATTTTCATGAATTGACCAGACAGACAGTGAAGTAAACTTGGGTTGGTTGAACCAGAAGGATCTTGAGATATGTGTATTTTGCATGGCTGTACATTAAAAGGATGGTGGATTAGGTAATGAAAAGCAATCACTTAAAGAGATGACTGCAAAAACAGTAGTCAAGGGTAATTGCACCTAACATTGATGCTATTAGGGTTTTCTATGTAAATAAAATCTGTGGCGCATTTGATGTGTGAAAAACTAATCTATTAAAAATAATAATTAAAATTATTCTAAGAAGATAAATTAAGAATATATACTATTTGAATAGATAAAAAATAAAAGTTTTTTTTTTCAATTTGTTGAGAGAAAGAGAGAAATGGGGGAGAGATAGATGATTATCGAAAATTATGATGGTTTGATTATGTCTAATAACCTAATTCAACACATAAAACTTGAAAGTGGTTCACCCTTTGAAAAAAATAATAATAAGTGCATTTGATAACCAAAATGTACATCACTTCAAAATTAAAGCAACTCTTAAAATAAGTTTTAAATATCAAGTCACTTACTTATTACTTAGTACTTCTAGTAAATAATGATTATGTAAATTATCAACCAATTTATCTTTAAATATTTTGATCTCAATCCATTTCACACCCCAACTTTTTATCACTCCTTACATTCCACTGTGACCACCACCATCGCTGTCGCCACCCCTCAGAATAACCATTGTTGCCCTCAAAACCCTAACTACCACCCCATAGTACTGTTGTCACCACCCCATGTCAAAACTTTGAGTAAAGAAGTACGTTCTGGATCCTTTATAAAGAACACTTGTTATCCTTGAAAAGACCATGCTCAGACCAAAGTGCTATAGCAGGAGAGCAACCCAATTTTTTTATTAGCAAATGACCAATCTTGTCTAGTAACCATTTTGAATAGGTATACAAGATTAAGCGAAATTTACTAGATTTTTACTAAAAAAAAACTAAATCTCTTATTGTCACCAAGCAATCCCTGCCACCACCAACCAACCAACATCATCATCGCCACGATCGCTATTATTGCCCCACAACCATCACTATTGCTACGTATCACCCACCACCACCACTACCCTCCTATAACCACACTCACCCCACCATCAATATTACCACCATCGTCCTCCATTATCACCTCATTACTGTTAATACCACTCTATCACAATCACCATTACCGTTAAACCACTAGCAATCCATCCCTCACCACTTCATCCTACCACCATCATCCCCATCACCACCTAATCGTTGCCACCACCCCCACCATGGTAATGGAGGCGATGATGGGAGAGTGGAGATAGTGATGATGGGATGATCATAATGGTGGTGGAGGGATAATGGTAGCAATGACATCGGATGATGGAGGGAGTGATAGTGGTAAGGGGTGACGGTGATGGTGGGATGACAATAGTTGCGAAAGGATGGTAATGACGGTGGTAGGTAGCGACAACAACGACACTAGTGATGGTAGTGGAGAGGTAACTAGGATCTGTTATGAAAATGGAGATGAAGAGTGGTTGCAGTGATTGTGTGAAGTAATGGTGAGGATGACATAGTGGCGGTGAAATAGTAGAGGGAAATGACAAAATTAAAAAAATAATAATTTTCAAACTTCAGTTATTTTTACTGCTCAAATCATTGATTCAATTAAGTACTTAGATTTAGTATATAACAAATAGATTTTAGGTTAACAAATTTAGCATGTAATACTAAAAATTCATACTTAGTTTTTAATTTTATGAAACATCATTGAAGTGAGACTCCATAATTATGTGTAGTTTTGGTTGGTGGAGGAAGAAATTAACAATACCGATTCTTGCTCGCTTAATTGATGTGTAACAAATAAACCATACATCAAAATTTTCTCCTTTTGGGTTTACTCCCCACTTTCTAACATTTTATTTATTTTGGTTCAAAGGTCAAGGATGTCCGAGCCAGTTTATGTGCATTTAGACTAATTTCTTCTTCAGTCCGGTCAATGGCAGACCATCCACGCTAGACTAAGTTACTCATGATGGACAAACCTCTCGCGACCTGGTTCTAAAAAGTTATCAAGATTCGAATTCAGAATATCTGATTTTATAACTCATTCTAGTTACCTTTGAGTTATCTATTTGAGTACAAAACGGAAGTTTATGGCAAGTATTAGCGGACATGGTTTTTGATGTCATGTCTAAACATTTCAATTATTTTTCTCAATTTTCTCCAATTGTCCTTCATTGTCCACATGCTTTAGTTATGTGTTTTTATCTTGTTCTATTCCCATTTTCTAGCCTTTTAAAACAACATTTCTAAACTCATGATTGCATACAAGAAATTAAATATTTTTCCCTCTTCCTCTTCAAGGTTCAAGGGTTGGTGCTAAGCCATCTAATCATGGCCAATACTAAGAATAAAGAATGAGACTTTAATATCTGCCGACAGGTAATTTGCTTAAAAAGTTAGTTAACTCCAACGAGGGACATGCTTAGAATGCTAGTCTCATTCTTCAATCTTCATGTAACAAACAATCAAAAGCTATGCAGATCATAGTATTTATGTCACCACGTGTATCAATCGTCAATTTGGGAGGTGTACCACAAATACTTCTGTTTCTGTAGATTCTGTACTCTCTACTCTCTCTCTCTCTCTAGAGAGAGAGAGAGAGAGAAGAATGAAGTCTTCATGGAGTGGTAATGGTGATGATGATAGTGATGGCTGTGGGGTTTGCTTAGATTAGGGATATGGAGAGAGAGAGAGAGGGAGGTGGAGTGGAAAACGGATTGGAGGTGGACCTCCAAGAGAGACAGGAACGGTTGGTCTTCTTGTCCTTAGTTCTATATTGTTTTCCCTCAGATTCATTTTTCTTCACTCACAAGGTAATCATCATATGTGTGTGAGAAATGAAACATCTTTTGCTTCCAATTCACATTACCCTTCTCTCTCTCTCTCTCTCTCTTCTTATATTCACCTGTACCCTTCTGTTATCTCCATCAACCCAGTTGGAAAAACGAAGCGTCACTGTATCTGAATCTGTCTGAGAACTTGGAATGAGGAAGCCAGATTCACTGATGAAAGAGAAAGTGAAGCCCAAGCTGAGGAAGGGCTTGTGGTCACCTGAAGAAGACGAGAAGCTGATGAACTATATGTTAAGAAATGGGCATGGGTGTTGGAGTGACATAGCCAGAAATGCAGGTTTACAAAGGTGTGGCAAGAGTTGTCGCCTTCGTTGGATTAACTACCTGAGGCCCGACCTCAAGCGTGGTGCGTTTTCGCTCCAAGAAGAACAACTTATCATCCATTTTCATTCCATTCTTGGAAACAGGTCTGTCATCTCTCTCTCTCTCTCCCATTCATGATTGTGTGGAAAATCTCCAGTGATAAAAAATCTAGTAAATTATGAAAAGTCTGAAAGATTAATTTAGCATAGTGCATTTGGCATAAGAACAAACGGGGGTGGCTCCTCCAAACATGAATCACGGTCATAAAGTTAAAAGTTTTAAGTATGATAAATTGGCAATTCATGGTAAAAAACTTAAGGTGGAGCTACTAGCATTCCATTTTTAGCTATATATATGGTCCTCTTTGTTAATGGATTGGTAAACTTTGCATTGATGGTGAGTTAAACAAGTGGATATATCAAGAGTTTTATGCGTTAAATAGTTTCACAAAATAACCTTACAAATTTGCTTAAAGTCTCTCACATGAGGGTACACATTCGATGCTTGTATAGTTTGATTGGGAACTTATGAGGCTGTTAGTAAGACAAGGACCTCACTACTACATATGGTATGCTTATTTTTCTTTTGGATAAATTTCCCTAGTGCGCATTGAAGTTTTTGTTCAGTCTTTTTTCAGTTACCCAAATTTTAATTGTATTTTTTTTAACTGTATTACTTCAGTGCTTAAAGTTTTTAATTCTGAAATTGTTGACTTCCGTTCAAATAAATAACAAAAGTGGATCTATCGCATTTTTATTTATTTATTAGTTTAACGGTGATAGGTGTTCAAACTAATTTACGTGTATTTTGACTAATCTTTTTTTTTCAGTTCAGTTAAAACCAGGTCATTCATGCCAGGACTAGAGAATTCATAATGGATAAATCTCTTATGACATGATTCTAAGAGATTGTCAAAATTCGAACTCAAAAAATTTGAATTTACAGTTCGTTTTTGTTATCATTTGAACTATACTAGAGGTTGCATTTTTTAAAATACTAAGGAAGTTTTCCTTCTATGTAGTTCAAAATATTTCTATATTTTTTGTGTGTATTGACATTATTATCTTGTAAGCACTTAAATTTGCATGAGTGAAAGGATAAGAGAATGTTTTAAAAACTCCCACTATTTTTCTTTGTTAAAAAAATCTTTGAAATTGTTGCGCAAAGAGTTTGGTTGATTTGAATTAGTAATGATGAAGATGAGACCACAAAACATTGAAATTTTTAGACTTCTACTTCATATATTTTGTTCCCTCTTTTTGTTTTTCTTACAAATCAATCCATATTAAAACTTGCTACATTTTTTAAAATGATCTATGGTTTATATTGCAGCTTGGGATAAGAATCCATGCAAACCCACGCATTTGGAAACAAAAGCAGCTTTCTTACACGGCCGATTTAATGTTAATAACAGTTCTTATTTCTCTGTTTATATAATTCAGGTGGTCTCAAATTGCAGCAAGGCTTCCAGGAAGGACAGACAATGAAATAAAAAATTTCTGGAATTCTACAGTAAAGAAAAGGTTGAAGAATAACACTTCTACACCCTCACCAAACAGCAGTGATTCAGCAGAGCCTAGAGATGTCGTTGGGGGGATCATGTCCATGCAAGAACATGACATCGTGGCCATGTGCATGGACTCGTCTTCCTCATCATCATCCTCGATGCATGCTAGGGTTTCGGGCAATCGTTTCAACCATGTCCCCGTATTCGACTGCAGCTATGGCATAAATGGTGCAGCAGGTTTATTCAATATCCCATCATCTTCAGCAGAAGTTGGTTTGGGAGATGGGGTTTTTGGGGGGTATGGTAATGTAGGACCATATTTTTCAGGGGTAGAAAGTGATATTTTGATTCCTCCATTAGAGGTTGGGGGCATTGGAGATAATAATGGTGCTGGTGACTATGTGTTTGATAAGAAAACCACTAACCACTTCAATAATAGTGAAGGCATCAAATTAGAGGACATGGTTGGGTTTGGAAATCATTGGGAGGGAGAAAACTTGAGAATGGGAGAATGGGATTTGGAGGGTTTGTTGGCAAATGTCTCTTCCTTACCATACCTTGATTTCCAAGTTGAATAAGTGCTACCTTCTCTCACATCTAGGAAATTTTGAAGTTTTTTTTTTGTCTTCTTTCTAGTTAGGTAGTCCTTGAAGTTTTTGGTTTGGTATACTTCTTGTTCAATTGTTACTTAGATCTAATTTATTGACTTTTTTTGCTGACTTAATTTACTACTGTCGTTAGATTAACAGTGAATTCCCATATTTGATGGGGTCCATGCCACTGTCAATCTGATAGCATTAGTAGGTTACATCAACAAATTATGTCAATAATTTTGATCCAAGTAGCTTTATTGTTCTTCTTTCTTCCATTGCATACAAATGTCTTCACCCATGAACCAACTCCTTCATGATGTTGGAGAGGTCTACAATAATGGTTGTATATTAGGGTGGCAGAATAGAGGGTCGGCCTTGTGCAGTGGTAACTTTGCGTTATTCTGGTTTGAATTGCACTTGTAAAACACTGTACATCTGACCATTATGAGGTCTAAAAGTGATAAGAGTCTCGTGTATTAGGCTACTTTGTACAAGTGGTGAAATAATCATGGTTGTGACAAAGAAATTGTGAATAGCGAATGGTGGATAGAAGTACAGAAGAAATAAAGATTAGTTGGAGAAGTGCAGAAGAATGAATTTGTAGTTTTATATATGTACACATCGGAATGAAATAATGTGAAGGTACAAGAAGTCGGTGCATGAGAGTCATTTTGTGGAACCAGAAATATTGTAATCATATGAACAAAATGAATAATGGGGATCATCTCTCTCTCTCTCTCACACACACACAAACACACACATAATATAAACAACAAATATATGCACAATCGAATCGGATTTACGGCTTATTTATCCCAAAGTTTGCATGACGCAGAATCTAAATAAGAGTACTTCACGTGTTCCAATATCTTTCTTGATGATAAAGAATAATCACGAATAATACTCGCAGTGGAGTAACACTACATAGAGCGACACACAACTCCATGGTATGAAAACGTCCTTGTACTAAAACAATGGAGGGAGAGAGAGAGAGAGAGGAATAAGATATAAGGAAGGTTGAGAATCTACCTCAGTCAAGTGTCTTACATTATTATCTCGAGATTTCATCCATTAAAAAAAATGGGTGGATATGTTTAGTAGATGGGTACCATGCGAGTTGTGTAAAACTTGTCAATTAACATGCATTTCCATTCTCAATTTCTACCAGTTCAAATCCAAAGAATCTACTGAAGTTTTTCTCAATTTTAGACAACAAAAAAGACAACTATATATTCCATAACACATAGGAATTCTTCACCATCCACGATCAAGTTGAGAAACATACACCCAAAAATAGTCATGTACACAAAAGAGAATGTAGTTGACAAGAGAAAGTGCTAGTTTTGTGCCTTGTACTCATCCAATTTGAAGCAAGCAAAGAAACACAAGCCTCAACATGTGTAACTATTCAGTATTATAATGATAGTGCATCATTATTAAAACATGGTACTGCAACTCAATAATGAGACACTGAATATGCCTCTGTCCGTTACACTATGCACATGTGGTGTCTTCTTGTTGAATTGTGACATCACGTGTCAATAATGATGTAATGACAATACGATATAGAATATATACTTGTGTACAGGTGTTCAATCTCTAATATTGGGGGGGGGGGGCAATGTTTAGAGAAATAACTATAGTTAGAGATGCATTGTAAAAAAAATATGATAGTTAAAGGGGGCAATTATTGTTAGACCAATAATCATAACTCTAGATATAATGTAAGAAACTTAATACTAAAGGGAACAATATGCAATAGAGACATAGTTGAGGGGGTAAAGGAGAATTTTTGCTAAGGGTTAATTACACTTTGCCCCTCAAATTATAATATTTGTGTTACTTTGCCTCATCAACTATCGTATCCCTCACATTGCACCTTCAACTACCTCAGAATGGTTAACGTTTGTTAAAAAATTGACAATAAGTTTCACTTTTCTCCTAAATCATTTTTGTTTCACTTTGCCACTATATGTTGATATTTTTCTCTCAAAAAATAACGGATATTTACGTTTCGGACAATGTGCGATCAATTCAATTCGTTGAGAGAATGATGAAAGAAATTATTTAGTTCAAGAGGCAAAGTGAGATGATTACCATAGTTTAAGAAATGTAATTAACCCTTGAAGTAAAGTCGAAGAAATAATGCGTTGAAAGTTGCACCATCTGGTGCATGCTTTTAGATTTTCCAAACCAACCAAGAAGCTGTTATTGACCCGCCATTTCTTGTCTTGTCTTTGTGTGTTTCACGCTCATTCTAGAATACCCTATCTTCAATGATATACATCCAGTGCATTACTTGAAACTTCACTGCACTACCTCCTTAGCTAATATGTTTGTTTCATTCACATATGGTAGAGTGGGATTGGAAGAAACGGTAATGAAAAAAAATCAAAATTCTAAAAAATTAAGAAATGTAGAGCAAAGACTCTGAACTTTCTCTCTCCTAATTTGTTATATATATATATATATATACTGGTCATAACCCGTGCCTGAAGGCATACTGAAACATAAAATTCGAACGCTCAAAAAAATTATTTCACTATATTAAATAATAAATTTTTTTTGTTTATCCATTATTTTCTTAAAAATATCGATAATTTTTTTCAAAATACATAATTAGGCATGTGATAGAAATTGGTGATATGATATTTTTTTGGAGGAAAATATGTAAGATAAAATTCAACTTGTGAGCTATCTTATATATATGTATTATATATTAAGTGGATAATATGTGAGAATGTCAGGGTTAATATGGTAAAATAATAAGTTTTGTTATCTATGTTAACCGATAAACTTTTACAGGTATATCAGTGAAATTTCAGGTAATGTAGTAGTGTGGTTGAAGGATAAAATATTTTACAAAGTTTTTTCAATTGCTTTTGTTTAAAAAAGTTGTTATAAAAATGTTACCAAACGTCTCTTTGGAAGCTTCTGTTGAGGAAAGTGTGTCGAATTGATCGGGTAGTATTTGAGAATGATGTGGCCAGTTGAGGCTGAGCTGAACATAAGATCTATTGAGATTCAATTGTCTTGACTTCTCACATTTTGTTTAAGGTCTTTTGCTGATGTTATTACGATTATAAGAATAAGATTATGGTACCAAAAAAAAAAAATCGGTTTCATACCGTTATCATAAATTATATATATTTTTTTATTTTTTGAGATTATTTATAACTTTTGTGGAAGTTTACAATCCCAAGTCACCATAAAAGTGTTATAAATTGACCCAAAAAAGATTAGTACTCGAAACTTAAAATTGTAAACCCAAAAAGTCGTAATTTTTTTTTTGTGTAATTTAAATAAACCTAAAAAAGTATATTTCAACTTACAAAATTTGAAAATTTTGGTCGTATAATGCCACATTTTTTTTTCTAGTACCATAGTCTTCTCCCGATTATAATTACCATACGTCAATGTGTGTAGTTTTCAATATTGTTGTTGGCAGTCGAAGATATTTTTCAACTTAGTTGATTGTTTAGGTCTATATGAAAGCTCTTGCTTTGTTGACTATGATTAGTATTTGGTCCTTTTAGTACACTAAAGAGAAGGACTTTCTTCTTCTTGTTAGGTTATATTTTAAAGTCATGTGTAAGCTTCCAAGATGTTTTCTCTTTTTCTTTTTCTTTTTCCTTTTTTTTAATTTTTGTTTTATGTATTTTTTTAACGAATTTTAAAGCTTTAACGGGTCACACGGGTGAATAATTACTACAAGAATTAGATTTTTTTGTGACAAATTTTTAACAGCAATTGTGTTCACTGTCATAAACAATTTATTTGTTACAGTAAATATTATTTCAGACAGGTTATTCTCGTCATAAAATTTTTTTAAGACTGCACTTATTATGGCAAGACGTTGTGATAACATTGTATCGTGTTTCTATTTTGAGTCTTCTAAATTTGGATTTGTATCGTGTTTCTATTGTGTGCTGAATAAATAACATTCGATTGTAAAATAAATAATATAATACCAAATTCATAAGTGAAAATAATATAATATAACACTATTATAATTTGTTTTTTATTCATATTAATTGATTCCGTCATTTTTTTGAATTTGTATTGTTTTAACGCGACCACCATTCGGGCATTATCTGAGGAAGACACCAAGAAGTAGAGGGTTATGTATGGAGATATGGACAACATGTTTCTCTTTGTCTTTCCAAGTTGTTTCGTTTGACCGATGTTTTTGTACGTTGCTATGTCGTAACCATGGTATTGTATAAGTGAGGGTGGATCATGCAAAAATTTTGTGGAAAGCCGTCTCTTTACGTTCGAGAGTAACTTCGGGGCGACAGTCCCAAAAAAGTTGTAAACCTATAAAATATCGTTCATAAATTATCTCACAATTAAGGATAAAAATTTTGTTTTGAAACGATAAGAGCATTCAAAACGTTTTTGTTTTTAAGAAGTTTAAAACAAATCAATGATGGAATCAAAATTTCAATGTTTCAAAATGTTTTGAACTATTTCTAGGTGTTTTGAGATGTTTGGGCATGTTTTCATATTGTTTCGGAATATTTCGAGATGTGTTTAACATATTTTGATGTATTTTAACCAATATATCAAGATATTTTAGAAAAAAATTCTTAATTTTTTTTCTTCATTTTTATTGTGCTTTCGAAATGTCTCCAAAATATTCTCTTTGCGTTTCTTAGGCGACAAAAACAACGCACCGAAATAAAATTTTAATTATTGGGATTATTTTACACTTTTATGGTTCAAATTATAATTTTTTGGACATCATACAAATTTGGGATTAACCCCAAAAAATCCCTAAAAATTATAAATAGAAAAAATTTCAATCACACCTCTTGTAGTTTATCATATCTTCAAAGACACCCCCTCTAATTTTTGAATCTTCAATGACACCCCTGTCAGATTAAAAATATTAAGTAGAATGTAATTTTACTAAATTGCCTATGATATATTTGAGGACAAACTTCATTCACACCCCCTCTAGATAAAAATATTTTCAATAAGACCCATTTTTTTCTAATTTTTTTTACGTAATTAAATTCAAATTGATTAAAATTCGATTGAAGCTAATTAAATTTTATTTTTTAAAATATTAAAATTTGTGCCAATTAAAAATTATATTTTTTTTTACGTATGAGAATTTGGGCTAATTAAAATTTTGTTTGAGCCAATTAAAAATTATTTTTAATCGACTTAAATCAAATTTTAATTAATTCGCATTGAATTTTAATCAGCCTAAATTTTAATATATAAAAATATATAAATTTTAATTGACTTAAATTTTAATAAATCTAATTTTAATTGACACAAATTTTAATAAGAAAAAAATATAAATTATAATCAACATGAAAGATAATTTTAATCGGCCCTAACAACTCAGATAGAGTTTAAATCGGCTCAAATTTTAATATGTAAAAAAAAAATTTAATAGGCTTGATTTTTTTAAAAAAAATTTACTAATTAGTAAATAAAAAATTAGTATTTATTAACAAATTATTTACTAAAATTGTTATTTATGATT